TGAGAGTCCCTTGGACTGCAAGGAGATCCAACCAGTCCATCCTAAAGGAGATCAGTCCTGGGTGTTCATTGGAAGGACTGATGCTGAAGCTGAAACTCCAATACTTTGGCCACCTGATGCGAAGAGTTGACTCACTGGAAAAGACCCTGATGCTGGGAGGGATTGAGGGCAAGAGAAGGGGACGACAGAGGATGAGACGGCTGGATGGCATCACCAACTCGATGGGCGTGAGTTTGAGTAAACTCCAGGAGTTTGTGATGGATAGGGAGGGCTGGCGTGCTGAGATTCATGGGGTCTCAAAGAGTTGGACACAACTGAGCAACTGAACTGAACTGAATAATGAGTAATGTTGAGCTTCTTTTCATGTGTTTATTAGCCATCTATATGTCTTCTTTGGAGAAATGTCTGTTTAGTTCTTCTGCCTACTTTTTGATTGGGTTGTTTTTCTGGTATTGAGCTGTATGAGCTGCTTGTATATTTTGGAGATTAATTCTTTGTCAGTTGCTTCATTTGCTATTATTTTCTCCCATTCTGAAGGCTATCTTTTTACCTGGCTTGTAGTTTCCTTCATTGTGCAAAAGCTTTTAAATTTAATTAGGTCCCATTTGTTTATTTTCATTTTTATTTCCATTACTCTGGGAAGTGGGTCATAGAGGATCTTGCTGTAATTTATGTCAGAGAGTGTTCTGCCTATATTTTCTTCTAAGAGTTTTATAGTTTCTGGTTTTACATTTAGATGTTTAATTCATTTTGAGTTTAATTTTGTGTATGGTGTTAAAAAGTGTTCTAGTTTCATTCTTTTACAAGTGGTTGACCAGTTTTCCCAGCCCCACTTGTTGAAGAGACTGTCTTTTTCTCCATTGTTTATTTTTGAGGAGGCTCTATTTAACTGCTTCCTCCTATATACTAGAAGTGCGGCTCTCACGCTACCTAGAAAATTGCAGTGACCTCCTTGACTGATCTTCCTTCCCTATAGTTTTATTTCCTCCCAATACAGTTTTCACTTGGAGCCAAGTGTTTGAAGTAAAATTTGAGTTTGGTCTTATGGGCCTGGGTGTAGAGGCTTGGTGGTGGCACACACAGCCCTTCATAACTAACTCCTCTATACCTGTATACTACAGTCAGGTTCCTGTTCTCAACCTAGTATTCTTCCATAATTCTGGATTACTCATTCCTTTTATTTCCCTTACTCTCTGTCCCTTGCATAACTCCAGAAAATCTTCACAGACAATTCAGTCCTCCATTTTGAGTTAGACATCCCCTCTGAAGTGCCCCCATGATATTTTCTGGGTCCCTCTGACATGAGACTTAGGAGTTTGTTCTGTTGTTTTCTGCTTAGATGTCTGTACCCCCAAAAGACTGAACTCCTCAAAGGTTACAAATTATGCCCTATTTCTTTAGCTGCCAACTTCCTCCCCTCAATTGATTTTACATACTACCTGATTCCCAGCAGATACTCGAGTTTTTTTTTTTTAACTAATAGTATTACATTTTTAAAAGTTAAAGATTTTCATATCAGTGCTTCAGTGAATAGCTGATTCAGGGTTTGAACCCCGGTCTCCTGCACTGCAGATTCTTTACCATCTGAGCCACCAGGGAAGTTTGATTTGTACAAGAATTCCTTTGAAACAGAACAAAAGACTTAGGACTACAAGTCCAGTACTCACCGTATACCAGTTGGGGTGCGTGTGCTAACCTTGCCTTTATGCCCCCTACTACAGGTACTCAGCATTTTACCGAATCCTCATGATTACAGTCTACACTGAGAAAGAATGAGACAGTGAGATTGTTGATTGTTAATGGGCAGGCCTCTCTTTCTGTATGAATGGGAGAGTTCAGATATTGTTGGGAAGCTGTGTGTGTGTGTAGCCAACACCATTCTCCCAGAGCACCAGGTGACGGATGCCAAGCCCACAGATCAGTCATGGTTTGTCAGCAGCTAGGGAACCTGGAGCGCATTCTCTTCCTTTACACCATTTCCCATTTATCAGAAGGGATTCCTAGACCTTTACATCCTGCAGAACGTGAGTCTGCACCAGAGCTGCTGCTTTGCACCTTGGTATCACCCATCCAGAGCAGGAGCTCTTTCAGAACAAATGAGCTTCTGTTTCCAAACAACTTTTCAACTTTCATGTGTTGTTGAGTGTCTTAGAATACAGTGCCTTAGCTTCAGCATCAGCTTAGAAAAGACAAATGCTTAATTTTTTCTGGTTATGCAAATAAAACACTCATTTCTTGGTGGCTCAGTTGGTAAAGAACCTGCCTGCAATGCAGATCTGGGTTTGATCCCTGGGTCAGGAAGATCTCCTGGAGAAAGGCATGGCAACCCACTCCAGTATTCTTGCCTGGAAAAGAGTCCTATGGACAGAGGAACCACAAGTTACAGTCCATAGTGTCACAAAAAGTTGGACATGACTGAGTGACTAACACACTTTCAAAGGCATTTATACATTTATTTAATACATATTTATCTTGCATATACTACATACTGTGTTCTGAGGAATACAGTCAGGAACATAGTTATGGTTATTGCCTCATGAAAATTTAGTCTAAGCATTACAGAAAATACATAGAACTTTAAAAATGAAATAAAAAAAATCTCTATATACAGAGATAACCACTGTCTGAATTTTTTTAAAGGTGTGTCTTTCTGTCCTTTGAGTTTTAGGCTGCAGCACTTCATCTGTTTTCATTTCAATATCCTCAACTCTCTTGCTCCTTTGTCCTTCATTTCCCCCACGGGGCAAATTTCCAATTCCTGAGCATCTGATCATCAACCTATGTAATGTTTGGCTCTGGCCTGGAAAAAAAAAACTATTTCAGAATGCTAATTTTAATCCCAAGGAGCTTGTTCTACTTTATATGTTTGAGATGCTGAATTTTCCACACCTACAAAATACTAATTATTAAGTTACAGAGGTATTTCCCTCTAAATTAAGTTAATAGACTTAAACTCATTTTATAGTTTAATGAGGGAGTTTTAAAACATGAGCTGTACCTTATTTATAATTACAAAAAAAGTGATAAATATCTAAAGGTCATCAGTAAGAGACTAGTTAAATAATGTGGATCCATACAATGGAATGCTATGAATCCATTAAAATAGTCTGTTGACATAAAAAGAAAACTAATAAACACGGAAAGAGTCACAACACATTGTTGAGTGGGCGAAAAGCAGCAAATAATGGTAAAGAGTAGGATATTTTGTTTGTTTCCATTCAGGTAAAATTGGATACATATGTATGTCCATGCGCGTAAAGCTATCTGTAAGGATTCAGTCAATGTATTCCTTCAATTCCTACTGTATAAGAGGCACTTAAAAATATACCATGATAGATGTCCGTATCTAGGGGAAAATCCAGATAATACATATAAATTGTATCATATGTATTTGTGGGGGAACACATTTGCTTTACTAACAGCCCTTTTCCCCCTCATCTCTAGAATAATGAACTACAAAGCAGGTTGGACTATTTAATAGAAACCCAGTCCAAGACTGAAGTGGAAACCAGAGAGGTTGGAGTGGGCTGTGATCTTCTACCCAGGTATTTAAGAATTTCCTATTGTTCCAAATCAAATTCCCCTTTGACTCAAGAAAATAGTTTCACTGTGCTGTTATTCCTGGAATTGCATTCTTTCTATCAAAAGTATTTCTGCAAGGAGAAGTGGTGGCTGCTGAGAGGTCTGGCTGGTTTCTGTGGAGTGGGGAGACTGTGTGGAGGCCTAGGGCATGCATGGCCCAGAAGTGACCTGGGGAAGCCACTGCACAGAGAAGATGGGCCCCATCAGCAAGTGTGTGCATTTGGTCCTGCATCTATTCATTTATTTGTTCATTCGGCACACATCTGTTGAGTACCTCCCCTGTGCCAGACAGTGATGATAAGGAGAGGAATTAGACTGGGTTCCTGCCCCAGAGTGCAGGCTGCAAGAGAAATCAGGTGTACAGGCAGACATTCTCAACGGTGAGAGAGGGCCCCGTGAGGTGCTTTAGTAACAGAGTAGGGAGACTCTAAACCCTGCTGCTCCCTAGTACTGTAACAGTGTTGTCATGCACTAGGCCAGATTCACAAATACATCATCTTTTCAGTCATAAGCAGATAAACAGGAACTATAGCCTGGTTTGTTCAGCTGCATTTCTGAGCTAGAGGACTGAGCCATGTGTTATTAAGCTGCTCACAAGCCCAGTACCTGGGTCTCTCCCTAGTCAGTTTAGCCCCTGTGACCCAGCAACCCACCCCGTGTCTCCAGGTGCTCAAAACTGTGCTTGGCTCCAAGACGACAGAAAACAAGCGCATACCAAGGGCACCGATGCGCCATGGCTTGTGATTCGGGTAACCAGAGTCACGAAGCGCCACCCCCTGTGTGCAGGATGGCGTACTCTTGTATGGTTAGGGGCTTGTGTGTGTGTGTGTGGTAGACACGAGTAGGTCAGGAAAATGTAGATTCCTGGCCTTGAATGGTTACATCCATGGGAAACGGGAATGAGCTGATCGCCAAGCTGGGCTGTAGAAGACCCAGCTCTCGTCCTCAGGGTTAGGAGCTGCGGGACATGTTCAGGCTGGACTCCTTATTAGCTGGGGCCTCTGTTTCCTGACCTGGTAAGTCAGTGAATTGACCAGGTGACTTCTCAGCGCTAACCAGTTCTCACACTGTAGAACAATGTCTCATATCCCTGTTTATTCATTACTGATGTTGTCTTTTTTGTTCATTAAAATGAGATACTTGCCATTCTCAAAATACTTACCAAAAGCAGGATTAAGCTCTTTTATTTATTTTTTTGAGATAAGTCCCATTTACGTTGCTTGCTTTTTGGTAAAAACAAGGCAATATTTTTCATTCTGATACCATTAACAGAAAATGTTTAAAAAAGAAGGAAAAACAATGTATAAACAGACTCCAGGTCTCATCAATGCAGGGGATAAAGTACTTGATAAAAATAGGACCCAAAAGAATGATTGATCATACCCAGGGACAACTGTTAAAATATAAATACTTTGGCTATTTTCCTCTTTTTTTTATTTTTCAAGAACCAAGTGGCTTAGTCCCCTCTAATTGCCCACATAATAAATCTTATTTGGTTAAGACGGGTACAAAACTATGTCTGAAACCAATAAATTGTTTGTTTTCTAATTCCCACATTTTGGCCTAAAACAGGGTTTTCAATTTGTATGCTGAGGGATAGCCTGAAGCAAACTTTTATGGCTAAGTTATGAAACCACAAAGCGGTGTTCATAATGGAAGTGCTGACAGACCCTTAACTTATGGCCACGCTGAACTTGGAAGCCACTTCAGTATCTAAAAGCAGCTTTTCCATAAATGTAACATTTGGTTTCCCCCAGGATCCATCTTAGCACTTTAACTACCTGGGGCAATCAGCAGAGGAAATGAAAACTGCGTCTCCCCATTTCCGAAAAGGCAGGGTAATCTTTCATTCTCTCTCTCACAAGTATTTATGAAGTGCCTACTATGTGAGAGGCGCCGTGCACGGCTGGGGGGCGAGGCGCACGGCCTCTTGAGAGGTGAGGCGGGGCCGGGGTTCCCACCTGTGCTTTTTGGAACTGTGCGCTCTGTGCTTGGGCTCCAGGAGGGGCTTCGGGGTGGGGGCGACGAGGTAAGCAAGGAGCTGGCCTGTTGGGACTGTTCCCCCTCACAGAAAAAAAACCAACCCGAGAAACTCAGTGTTTAGTGTGTTTTATATGTTAGATTCCAAGTAAGACTTTGCTTGAATAAAGAGCTCTGTGGTCACAATCAAATGAGAACCCCAGCCCCAGATCTAATCTCCCTGTTTTATAGATACCAAAACTGAGGCCCAGAGAGAGACGGGGATTTCCTAGAAGCCACAGAGCCAGGATTTGAACCATACCTCTGGGAGTCCTGGTGTGGTACATTTGTAGTTTTAAAATGCTCAGTAGAGATTGCTAAATTGTGTTACATATGTTCTAAAAGAATCCCTGGTTCTCACTTAGGACTTCAAACTGGCATCTAACTAATAAAAGATTCCATGGTGTGTTCAAGAATATTTTAAAAACAGGCTCTCCAACTATCTTAGATCCGTAAAAAGTAATGAATTAAGCCTGTTACGCAGGTGAGTTCTGTTCTTCCTTCTGGGTCTTCTGCCATACCCTCCAGCTGGGAAGGTTCAGGCTGTGGGGGCCCCTGCCCAGCCAGCTGAGCACAGCCCTGCACCAGTTACTCAGCCTCCGTTAATCCTCTGTGATTTCATCCTTACAGTGGGAATGACAGTATCAAATCATATTGGACTGTTACGAGGATTAAATGAAAACATGTATGTAAAGAATTTAGCATGGTAACTGCAGTTAAGAACTTAATAAATAGCTAGTATTCCTATAATCTAAATCAAAACTTGATTTTACATATGAGACACTGTATCAAGTATTTTTTTAACATTTTATTGGAGTATAGTTGGTTTACAATGCTGTGTAACTTTCAGGTACAGCAAAGTGATTCAGTCATACATGTGTTCATTCTTTTTCAATTCTTTTCTCATATAGGCGATCACAGGATATTGAATAGAGCTCCCCGTGCTATATAGTAGGGCTCTGTTGGTTATCTGTGTGATACATAGCAGTGTCCGTGTGTCACCCGAGCTCCTGGTTTACCCTCTTCCTGGTGCTCCCCCTCTGGGAACTCTAAGTTGTTGATGTAAGTCTGCTGCTGTTCTGTCAATAAGTGTGTGTGTTAGTTGCTCAGTCGTGTCTGACTCTTTGCAACCTCATGGACTGTAGCCTGCCAGGATCCTCTGTCCATGGAATTCTCCTGGCAAGACTACTAGAGTGGACTGCCATTCTTTTCTCCAAAATAAGTTTGTATCACCTTTTAAAAATGAGATTCCACATATGAGTGATATTTGTTTTTCTCTTACTTCACTTACTATGATAATTTCTAGGTCCATCCATGTTGCTGCAAATGGCATTATTTTGTTCTTTTTTATGGCTGAATAAATATTCTGTTGTAAATATGTACCACATCTTTATCCATTCATCTGTTAATAGACATTGAGGCTGTTTCCATGTTTTGGCTATTGTGAATAGTGCTGCTATGAACATCGGGGTGCATGTCTTTTTGGATTAGAGTTTTGTCTAGATATATGCCCAGGAGTGGCACTGCTAGATCATATGGTAATTCTCTTCTCAGTTTTCTGGGGAATCTCTGCTTTCCATCAGGGATGCACTAACTTACATTTGCACTGACAAGGTAGGAGGGTTCTGTTTCTCAGCATCCTCTCCAGCATTTGTTGTTTGTTGACTTTTTAATGATAGCTGTTCTAACTGGTGAGTTGGTACCTCATGGTAGTTTTGGTTTGCATTTCTCTAATAATGAGTGATGTTGAGCATCTTTTCATATGCCTCCTGGCCATCTGTATTTCTTCTTCTTTGGAGAAACGTCTATTATGGTTTTCTGCCCATTTTTTTGATTGGGTTGGTTGGTTGACAGCTTATTCGAGTGGCTTGTGCTCCAGTATGTGTTGCAGTTTTCAGCTGTCAGTGGTTTGGTATCAGTGGTTTACACTGGACACCGTTTAGAACTCTGGAAGCCCCAGTGGTTGATGAGCTCTTTGGTCAGCTGTGTTATCAGGTGTTGTGGTGTGCCCCAGGCCCTGGGCACAAAGCCCGTGCTGCTGTGGAGCTGTGTGGCACCTGCGGCCCGTTTCTCCCTAAACCTGCAGGTTTCACATGCTGTGCTACTGCTAACAGCATTTGGTGGCTAAGAATCTGCCTGCCAAGCAGGAAACCAGCTTTGATCCCCGGGTAGGGAAGATCTCCTGCAGTAGGAAACTGCAACCAGCTCCAATACTCTTGCCTGGGAAATTTCATGGACAGAGGAGCCTGGCGGGCTACAGCCCCTCGGGGTTGCGAAGAGTGAAACACAACTGACTTAACAATTAGAGCTGCTCAGGGAGCATAGAAAAAATATAGCAGCTCTAATTGGAGGTCACTTGACTATCAAAATCTTCCCCTAGGTAAGGAAACCGAGATTTGAAGAGCTTAGGTAGCTCACACCTCTCTTGCGTACAAGTCCTCACTCCTGGCTGCCTACTGGCACCACTTCATCTTCATACCCACCCTATCCATAGCTGAGCACATTTTTTTCCATCAAAGTCAGATCCTCTAATTGTGGTTAAGAGCAATGGCTTGGAAATCAGCCCTGGGTTTGGGTCCTGGATCTGCCTCTGGGTAGATCTATAACTTTGGACTAATGCCTAACCTCTTTGAATCTCAGTTTCCTTACCTAGGGGAAGATTTTGATAGTAATTCCTACTGAAACTTGCTAAGATGATTCAGATATAAAGTGTCCAGTGTATATGGCCATGTTTGCATATTTCTGCTGATGCCATCACCACAGTCCCAGTTGCCGTAAGTTCAGTGTTCCGCACTCACCTTTGAGCTTTGCACCTGGACTCACTCACTGGAGCGGGGCTGGCTTTTTCCTTCGTGACTTGCTCCATACTCTCTACTCCCACTTCCCCAGCCTCCAGGTTCTCCTTCTCAAATTCTTCTCCTCCTTTGTCTCATCTTTGTGTTGCATAGATTTCTGGAAAGCAAGGAGAGAGGGAAGGGTTCAAAGGCATTCACCATGATGCCAGGGGCTTCTAAACGCCTAATTAAAGGCAAAACTCACGAGTCAGATTTCAGAAGTTGGCTATATATTAATTAAGGCCATTGAGAGCAATTTTAGGTCAGCTAGCCTTCAAAGAGAAAAGTGGAAAACAAAGTACCAAAAGAAAAGACTTCACTCCTTTGTCCCTCAGTGAAACTCAGTCTCCAGTAAACCCATAAATTATGTCTTAATAGGTACATTTTAATGAAAAATATTCCTTGCAGTCATAAGTTCCCAGCGCATAGTAAGTACTTTAAAATGCCTACATTTTCATATTTCTGTTGTAGAAACCAGAACACAAAGTAGCTTTTTGTCAAGGCATTATTTGCTGACTCTGCTTTTGTTTGCCCCAGGGAACTGCCCCTTTATGGATTAATAAAAGGTTAACAATAGCCTTAATATGTTAAAGAAAATGGCCGAATTTTCATTCTGTGGTTGAAATTATGTGTTCTTGACTTGAAATTCTGTTGTTTCTTAGTGATCAACTAAAAAAACTCACCTCACTTCTTTTTGAAAGGTTGAGATATGAAAGCCTGTTTCTGAAACCCAGAGGGTTCACCTTTATAAATATTTCTGAACTTTATGGGCTTTTAGGATAGTGCCACCAGAGACTATTTCTGTTCTGTGGAATTTTCACAGGAGTCGGCACGAATCGCCATCTGGCTCACGCCCCTGGCACTCCACTAGACTGCCTGCTCGGGTCACTGGGGACTCCTGAACTGCTCTATCTTGTGGATTCCTCTCTGTAGCAGGTGACGGTGAAACTGTTACCGCTCGTTCCTCAAAATCCATCGTCCTCTGGTTCCCTTCGTCGTTCATCTGTGTAGTGGCAGTTCTGTGTCTGGCCTGAGTGAGCTGCTGAGGTCATGAAGATAAGCAAGATGTGGTTTTCACACTTCACGAAATTACAGCTAGCAGAGGATGTGCAGACCAGCAGGTGCAGTGAGATGCTTCCAGGAGTGTCACAAACCTCTGTGACAGTCATTTTCAAGGGGAGGAGAGTGTGGGAAAGACATTGAATCTCCTGGGGAGAGTTATGTGAAGATTAACATCCCCCACACCCTTCAGAAGCCTTTCTAATACACCTTATTAAGAAGTTGTCTCCCAACCATAGTTGAAAATCACCGCACAGTAATAGGTGTGTGTTGTCGTCGTCGTAGAATTTTCATTCTGTGGTTGAAATTATGTGTTCTTGACTTGAAATTCTGTTGTTTCTTAGTGATCAACTAAAAAAACTCACCTCACTTCTTTTTGAAAGGTTGAGATATGAAAGCCTGTTTCTGAAACCCAGAGGGTTCACCTTTATAAATATTTCTGAACTTTATGGGCTTTTAGGATAGTGCCACCAGAGACTATTTCTGTTCTGTGGAATTTTCACAGGAGTCGGCACGAATCGCCATCTGGCTCACGCCCCTGGCACTCCACTAGACTGCCTGCTCGGGTCACTGGGGACTCCTGAACTGCTCTGTCTTGTGGATTCCTCTCTGTAGCAGGTGACGGTGCAACTGTTACCGCTCGTTCCTCAAAATCCATCGTCCTCTGGTTCCCTTCGTCGTTCATCTGTGTAGTGGCAGTTCTGTGTCTGGCCTGAGTGAGCTGCTGAGGTCATGAAGATAAGCAAGATGTGGTTTTCACACTTCACGAAATTACAGCTAGCAGAGGATGTGCAGACCAGCAGGTGCAGTGAGATGCTTCCAGGAGTGGCACAAACCTCTGTGACAGTCATTTTCAAGGGGAGGAGAGTGTGGGAAAGACATTGAATCTCCTGGGGAGAGTTATGTGAAAATTAACATCCCCCACACCCTTCAGAAGCCTTTCTAATACACCTTATTAAGAAGTTGTCTCCCAACCATAGTTGAAAATCACCGCACAGTAATAGGTGTGTGTTGTCGTCGTCGTTGTTGTTCAGTCACTTAGTTGTATCTGACTCTTTGCAACCCCATGGACTGTAGCACGCCAGGTTCCTCTGTGCATGGGATTTCCCAGCAGGGATACTGGAGTGGGTTGCCATTTCCTTCTCCAGGGGATCTTCCCGATGCAGGGATCGAACCTGTGTCTCCTGCATTGCAGGTAGATTCTTTACTGCTGGGCCACCTGGGTAGCTGTATATAGTTATAAAACTTTTTTCTTCCGATGATTTATTAGCAACTCTCAAGCAATACAGTATTATTATCTATAGTTGCTATGCTGTACATGACATCCTCATGACTGGAAGTTTGTACCTTTTGACCCCCTTCACCCATTTCGCTCATCCCCCAACCCCTTCCTCTGGCAATCATCCATCTTTTCTCAGTATCTGTGTTTTTTTTTTTTTAAACATATGAATAAGATACTTTGTCTGGCTTATTTCACTTACCCTAATGTCCTCAAGGTCCATCCATGTTTTGCAAATGGCAAGGTATTACTCTCCTGCATTGGCAGGTGGATTCTTCACCACTGCACCACCACGGAAGCCCAATGGGAGGTGTCACTGATGGGCAAATTTAGCAAAAGTGAGCCTTGTGGGAGGAGAAAATTGAGCGCACAGAGAAAGGAGTGACAGTACCTGTCACTTCTGTGGAGAATTGGGGGACGAGGTAGGAATTCATCAGACTGATTTGATGAGGGTACAGCTGAGGATGGCAGAACTGTGAAGCGGTGTATAAATGAGGAGAGGCCAGGCAGGAGACAGAACAGTAGATGGTAGAGGCCTTCACACCCTGCAGGGGAGATGAGAGTCCATCCAGGAAGCAAGGGGGAAAATGAAGAGTTTGAAGAATGGTAATATGCTCCAACTGTCCTCTTAGGAAAATATCTTCGGCAGCAAAATGGCTATGGGCTAAACCTGCAAGTAACAGAAATCATTTCTGCCTGTAGAGTCATGTGGTCTACCAAAGTGCAAGGGAAACTGAGAAAGGTGGTTATATGTCTACGAGGAAAAAGAAATGGGACATTTTCTCCATTTTAATCATAAAATTGTTACTTCTGCCTCCTAAATATCATCTTAACATTCCCTTGCTGCTTTACCTCCAGTGCGATTTTTACAGTTTAGGTTCTCATGGTCTCTCTCCCTTTCTAAATAGCAAAACTCTGCTAAATAACCTCCGGCTTCCAGACTAAGGCCTTTATAGTCAATCCTCAGAGGTGCCAAGGAATCTTTCTAGAATAAAAATAGGGGCATATCCTGCCCTCCTTAAAAACCTACAGTGGCTCACTGTCTCATTCTGAACCCCTTAGAAGGGCACAGAGGGCCGCCCTTCCCCCTTCCACCCCNCTAGAATAAAAATAGGGGCATATCCTGCCCTCCTTAAAAACCTACAGTGGCTCACTGTCTCATTCTGAACCCCTTAGAAGGGCACAGAGGGCCGCCCTTCCCCCTTCCACCCCAACCTCATCTTCTGCCACTTTCACATTGAACTCTTCTGCTCCGGTCCTGGCTAAATGTGTCTCCTTTTTACACTGTGGCCTCTGTGTTCACCCTTCTTTGCCTGCACTGCCTCTGCCTGGAATTCTTCCTCACTCGCCTGAGGAACGCCTAGGCACCCTTCAGGAGTCACCTTCCTAGGGCTGACTTCCTCCCAGCGAAGCTAACTTGTTCTGCCCTCAGACTGCCCGTAATGTGTTTGTTCTTGTGCTGCTCAGGGTCCTGGCAGGAAGGGGAGATGGAAGACACTTAAATGAAACAACTGTGTACAAATTGGAGGGTAGCTTTTAGGGAAATAAAAAATGGACACTGGCTTGCTCTGGAGCTAGCGAGAGTGGAAGCTGTTTCCAGCCTGGGCCTGAAGAGATGGGGAGAGAAAGCTGGTAGAAGAGATGAAGGGGTGAGCTGTAGCATAGCCTTTGCTAGAGGAATGTTGCCAACTACTAAGCCGTGGTCTGAGCAGAGGGGGCAAATGACATGGGCTCCCTGTGCTCCATTCTCTCATTCTCTGCCTCCACCTCCTAACAGGCCCAGACCAGCAGGAAGGTAAAGGGTGTGGGTGTCCACTGATGTCCACCTTCTGGTCAGCTCCCAGGGTATAGGGTGGAGTGGAGAAGGGGGATGGATCTGAACAGGCAAGTACAGAGCATCCAGTATAGTTCCTTAGTCTTTATACAGTACCTAAGACATTATGACTATTTATGTATGTATCTTTCGCATCTAATTGTGAGCTCCTGAATGCATGGTTTTTTGTTTTTTTTTTTAATTTTTCTGAATCATGGATACCTAGCAACCTTAAGTTGCTAAAACTACTGTCTGGCTCCAGGGAGAAGGGGGTTCAAGATGGTGGAGGAGAAGGACATGGAGCTCACCTTCTCCCACAAAAACATTAACCATACATCTACAAGTGGACTGATTTACACTGAACATCTGCTGAATGCTGAAAGAAGACCTCAGACTTTGGAAAGGGCAAGAAAATCTCCACATAACTGGGTAGGACAAAAGAAAAAGAAGGAAAAAGAAAGAATTGGGATAGGGTCTGCACCCAGGGAAGGAGCTTTTAAGAAGGAAAGGTATACCATATCCTGGGATTGGAAGAAGTAGTATCCAAATGACTGTACAATGGAAAAAAGACAGTCTCTTCAATAAGTGGTGCTAGGAAAATTGGGCAGCTACATGTAGAAGAATGAAATCAGAACACTACCTAACATCATACACAAAAATAAAACTCAAACTAAAGACCTAAATGTAAGGCCAGACACTATAAAACTCCTAGAGGAAAACAGAACACACGCTGATGTAAATAGCAGCAATATCTTTTTGGATCCACCTCCTAGGGTACATATCTCAACATAATAGCCATTTATGATAAATCCACAGCCAATAAAATACTCAAATATATATAGAAAATCCTAAGAACGCCACACAAAACTACTTGAGCTAATAAGTGAATTCAGCAAAGTAGCAGGATTTAAGCCTAACATTCAAAAATTGGTTGCATTTCTTTACATTAACAATGAAATATCAGAAAGAAATGTAAAAAAATAAGGAATAAACCTGACCAAGTAGATGAAAGACTTATGCTGTGAATTATAAAACAATAATAAAGGAAATTAAAGAGAGTTCAACTAAAGGGAAGATATCCCATGCTCTTGGATTGGAAGAATTAATACTGTTAACACATTACTGACCAGGGGTTTTTTGCAGAAACTAACACCTATGGCTGGTGACTTGTTATGTAAATGAATACTGAAACATCTCTAGTCAATAATGTTCAGGTAACAAAGCACATATTAATACATCTCTGATCAGTAATGTATTAAAATGGCCATGCTGCATAAACAAGTCTATAGATTTAATGCAAACCCTATCAAAATACCCATGACATTTTTCATAGAATTAGAAAAAATAATCCAAAAACTTGTATGGAATTATAAAAGACCCAGAATTGCTAGTCCTAAGGGAAAAAAACAGGAAGCATAATTCTCCCAGACTTCAGACAATATTACAAAGTTACAGTATTCAAAACAGTGTATTATTGGTACAAAACCAGACATATGGATCAGCAGAACAGAACAGAGGCCAAAAACAAACCCATACATCTAAGGTCAATTAATCTCCAACAAAGAAGAGAATATAAAATGGGGAAAAAGTTTCTTGAGCAAGTGGTGCTGGGAAAGCTGGACAGCAGCATATAAATGAATGAAATTAGAACACACCCTCACATCATGAACAGAAATAAACAAATGGGACTTAAGTAAACTTACAAGCTTTTGCACAGCAAAGGAAACCATAAAAAAATGAAAAGACAATCCATGGAATGGGAGAAAGTATTGGCAAATGATGCAGCAGACAAGGGCTTAATCTCCAAAATACACAAACAGCTTATATAAGTAGACAACAACAACAACAGAAAGCCCAATGGAAAAACGGGCAGAAGACCTAAATACACATTTCTCCAAAGAAGAAATATAGATGACCAGTAGATTAAGATGCTCAGCATCACTAATTAGTAGAGAAATGCAAATTACAATGAAGTACCAACACACACCAGTCAGAAGGGCCATCATTAAAATGTTAACAAACAATGAAAAAGAAGTTACAACAGACAATGCAGAAATACAGAGATTACTACGAGTAACTATATACCAATAAAATAGACAACCTGGAAGAAATGGGCAAATTCTTAGAAAAGTACTAGCATCCAAGTCTGACCCAGGAAGAAACAGAAATCATGAACAGACCAATCACAAGCACTGAAATTGAAACTGTGATCAAAAACCTTCCAACAAACAAAAGCCCAGGGCCAGATGGCTTCACAGTGAATTCTATCAAACATTTAGAGAAGAAATAACACCTATCGTTCTCAAACATTTCCAAAAAACCACAGAGGGAGGAATACTCCCAAACTCTTTCTATGAGGCCACCATCACCATGATACCAAAACCAGACAAAGTTATCACACAAAAAAGAAAACTACAGGCCAATATCATTGATGAACACAGACGTAAACATCCTCAACAAAATACTAGCAAACAGAATCCAACAACACATTAAAAGGATCATACATCGTGATCTAGTGGGGTTTATCCCAGGGATGCAAGGATTCTTTGATATATGCAAACCAATCAATGTGATACACCATATTAACAAATTGAAAGACAAAAACCATATGATAATCTCAACAGATGCAGAAAAAGCTTTCAACAAAATTCAACTCACATTTGATAAAATCTCTCCTGAAAAATGGGCACAGTAGGAATCTACCTCAACATAATAAAGGCCATATAAGACAAGCCCACAGAAAACATTATTCTCAATGGTGAAAAACTGAAAGTATTTCCTCTAAGATCAGTAACAAGGCAAAGATGCCCACTCTCATCATCATTAATCAACGTAATTTTGGAAGTTGTAGCCATGGCAATCAGAGAAGAAATAAAAGGAATCTAGACTGGAAAAGAAGAACTTAAACTCTGTTTGCAGATGACATTGATATTATACATAGAAAAACCTAAAGATACCACCAGAAAATCACAAGAGCTAATCAATGAATTTAGTAAATTCACAGGATATAAAATTACTACACAAAAATCCCTTGCATTCCTATACATTAACAATGAAAAATCAGAAAGAGAAATTAAGGAAACAATCCCATTCACCACTGCAACAAAAAGAATAAAATACCTAGAAATAAACCTACTTAAGGAGACAAATGATCTCTATGCAGATAACACTGATGAAAGACACTGATGAAAGAACTCAAAGACATACAAACAGATGAGAGATATCAAACAGAGATACAAACAGAAAGAGATATCACGTTCTTGGATTGGAAAAATCAACAGTATGAAAATGAAGATTGCTTTGGGTTGTAAAGTCAGATTTCAATCTCTATCAAATTACCAATGGCATTTGTCACAGAACCAGAAGAAAAAATTTTATAATTTGTAGGGAAACACAAAAGACCCTGAATAACCAAAGCAATCTTGAGAAAGAAAAATGGAATTGGAGGAATCAACCTTCCGACTTCACTCTATACTACAAAGCTACAGTAATCAAGACAATATGATACTGGCACAAAAACAGAAATACAGATCAATGGAACTGGCTAGAAAGCCCAAAGATAAACCTCTGCACCTATGGGCACTTTATCTTTGACAAATGAGGCAAAAGTATACAGTGGAGAAAAGATAGTCTCTTCAGTAAGTGGTACTGGGAAAACTGGGCAGCTACCTGTAAAAGAAAGAAATTAGAACACTTTATAACACCATACACAAAACAGACTCAAAATAGATTAAAGACCTAAACATAAGACCAGAAACTGTAAAACTCTTAGAGGAAAACACAGGCAGAACACTCTGACATAAAGCACAGCCAAGATCCTCTTTGACTCACCTCCTAGAGTAATGGAAATAAAAACA